GCGCGTCCAACATTCCTGGGGAAATATCCGAGGTTCCAGAAACGCGCCTGCGTCAATCGAAGCCGGCCGCGAGACTGGAATCGGGCGAAAAGTAGGGCAGCGCGCGCGAAGAATTGGAAGGACTGTGCGCAGGGTGAACGCGGCAACTAGCAAGCGAGGAGACTAAGCTGACGTGAGCAGAAGGCATAGAAATGGGCGGATGAATGGCGATGGGCGATTGTTTGTGTTCCTTATGTTGCGACGACATGACTGGCATCATGTAGCGTATAAAATTGCAACAGCGGTCAGTTTAATATTTATCTTCTCCCTCATTCTATCAGGGCTCGTTTGGTCGAGTGTCCAGTTTTGCTCGCGAAGTGTTCGTGCGATTTATTGTATCCTAATCCTGGTGTCATTGTGTGTTTATTGTGCGGTGTGTTGTGTGTTGTGACTATTACAAATAATGGTCCGGAGTGACAGGTCCGCAATGTCCCGAGAAAGGCTTAAACTCAGTATAGATAATACGTAATGTAAATAAATGAGAACCTTCTCGAATGTCGAAAGAACGAAGTTTCTCAGGAAAGCGAAAAATAATTCATCCCAAAATACAAACGGCACTTCCTTCCTACAAAATAATACAGCAAGATGTTATGCAGAGTGATTTATGATTGCAATATTTCCGTCAAAGAAGTGCGTGCCAATAAATGCTCAGCACGGTAGTTAGTCCCGTAAATTTAGTGCATGTTTTATCGTGCGAGGTGGCGGTTATCTCAGCTCGATAGTGATATCCGGCGCAAATCTGCTCGTAGGCTGGCGGGGTTTTCCCCAACCAGGTATTTCCGACAAGTAGAGCTCCTCCCCACCCGGGACAAGCTTTAAGCTCTCAACTGATATCTCGACATGTGCGGTAGTGTAGTGCGTCCAAGTATGTTTGAACAAGGGGTGAGGATAGGACAAGGAAGAGGAAGGAAAGATCGAGCGCGGTCTGATGCCCGTTTGTTAGGGTACTGCTTCGGCATTCGCCTGTTGTTGACAAGAGAATTCACGGAAAACTGCTGGTCAGAGTAGCCGATTACTAGAATTCTCCTCCAGACAGCGGCTGAATCCGCCCTAGCTATCTAGCTAGTGACAATAATGCTGCTATCGTCGGGATTCGAACCCTAGGATCACCCTGTCAGATGCACTGCAGTGACATCAATGCCATCTCAGCCAGATCGACAGAACCTTTTAGACCGCCTGAGCCATTTTAGACGATCTAAAACAGTCTCAGGGTCTGGATTGAAGTGATGGTTGTCTCAGTGCAACAACCTCGCTTCTTATTCATGTATTGTGCAACATACGTGTGTTAACTAAGTGGCAGAAGTTAAAAAAGGATATAGAGTTATTGACATAGGTGACCGCGATAACTATGCGTGTACCGCCAGCCTTTACACTCCTTCAAGTCTGAGGGAGAAGTTATGAAAAAAATGAAGACCATGCATTTCTTGCTTGCATTAAGAATTTAGACTAAATCCTTAACTGATTTGTTAAGAAAGTAACCCATTTAATTTCTTAGATGTTTCTTTTACTATGTTTTCAACTTTTTAAAATATATCAGCAGTTGAGTCGCTCAATAGATATTATTGACTCTCTCCAAACATTTTAAAATTGGTAACGTCTTTGATATTAATGATACGTAATATTGATGCTTGAAGTATAGTTTTGGGTATTTTCTACTTTACTCTTGACTTGTCAATCAGAATTAGTAATTGTGTTGTTCTCCTCTTCACATGAATTTTTCTCTGTTGTGATCTGAGTAATTTCGATTTCCACGATGTATAGTTGAGTGATCGAGTTCCTTAGCTGGTGTCGAAAATCTGCCCACGTATCCTAGAAACATTTTGGGAAAGGCTTTAACAGTAACTCATTCGCCAAATATTAACACCAAGAAAAAAAGGATCAGTGATATAAGACGTTTCTAACCACAGGCGAGGCAGTAAGCTTACCTTCCTTTCCGAGTTCCCTTGTCCTGACAGGTGACCGCAGTAGGGGATTTGCTATTCATTTCCACTGTGTGTGACACGGTAAAGGGAGATGACTTGAATCAAATCATTTCACCCCACCCCGCTTCAAACTGGTGGATCCATGGGAGACCATCCCCCCTCAGGAGGCCTAGTTTTCGTTTAACAAAAATCTCCAATGGCCCTCTCCAAAATCACCGGCTGGATCCACCCCTGCTCCTTCATGATCGTACCAGCAACATAGTGGTTATATGAAAAGTCATCCACGAGGTGCAAACGATGACTTGTCAGAGATTCGAATATCTGGACTGCGGTTTTACGTACTGTAATACTACTTCTAGCCTCTGCGCCGGGGAGTCCGGCGATATGATCAATGGATGAGCCAGTTAACCCGCCCAACACATCAGCTGTGTAACTGAAATTAGCAGTGGTAGATTTGAACGCAAGTTTTACTACCGACGGACTCTGATAGCCAACACCGTTCCTGTAAGACGGCATTAATCACAGAGTAATTTAGAAACGTATTAACAATTGCAGCAGTAATATTACAAGAGTTAATTTTATAACCAGTCAGTTCTATTGTCCTCTTGTAATTTTATTACTACTTCAAGTGGCAGAGGAAAAAAATATACGTTAATGAAGCTTGATTCAAAATTGTGATTTTAATGGATGATGCTGCCAACACTGCTCACTTGTGTAGCCACTTAATTCCAATGACCTTTGAAGCTTGCTCGTAATAATAGACGAGTACATCACATTGATAACATTTGACATAAATGGTAATTGACTTTTTCGATTGGGTTTCTAAAATGACTATTTTACATTACACTTGATCGGATCTTTCTAAAAGTGCGTTTTGACAAAGATAACAATTTTTTTTACTTTCCTTGATGATATGCACTAGAGAGTCAGTCCAAGTAATCGAGGTCGGGATAGTGAAAACTGTTTTCAGGGTCCCCGCCAAAACTTGTTCTAACCGTAGTTTCTTTGTAGATGTATGTGTGTACCTGTCACACGTAACTCGGGCAAGCTACACGCTTTTGAGCTCTCTCTTGATACAATGTCTGCAGTAAGATCTGTTTAAGTTTAAATGATCAGAATGGGGCAGGTTGTGAGATAAAACACACAACTAGGTACCAAAAATCAGTGCAAACGTGTAACAATTGCCACTTAAGCTCAAAGTGCGAGAGTCACGACAATGGGGTAGAATGTTCCCCTCTACCCGTTTTTTGTACTTTTCTTTTGAAACATGGGCTTCTTCAGTTTTAGTTAGACAATGAATGAGCGGAAAATGGGATTAACTGGTGTGTGTGTGTGTGTGGGGGGGGATGACAATATGCGCACCCTGGGTGTCACTGAATCTTAGTACGTCATTATTCACGAATGGCTGAAAATGTTACTGACGTTTGTGAAAAAACTTGAAAAATTAGAACCTATCTGTATTGTTCAATTACCTTGAAATTATTACAATATCCAAATTCTGAATTTTGCGAGGATGACATGTATAATTTTGTTTTGCAAGCCCATCGCAACGGTGTTTCTATGGAACTCTCATGAAAGAGAAACACATGGTCCTTAATTGAATATAAGTCGCAGTCGTAAAACTGTGGAAGTAAGTTCACCAAGTTAATTGCAGTGCTTAAAAACAAAAATTAACACACTAATAAAATGTTAACAAGTAAATCTTACTACCAGTATATGATCAAAAATATATATGTCAGAAACGATGACTATGTAGAGCGATGTATCGCTAGAAACTCACCTTGCTATAATGGTTGAACTATATAGGAAAGGAAAATTGCCTTTCATTGAGATGTGTTTGCAGAGCAGCCAATACGAATTTCAGAGCCCAGTTATGTCCAGAGAAAATAGTGAGATAGTTGAGTGAGATACATGAGCTAAGAGAGCTGTACCATTATTTTTTTCGGGCTTCAAGATACTCGACCCATACAAAGTCACAGATTTCACTTCAAAATACAGGTTCTTTAGGTACTAAAAGCAATACATCCTGAACTTAATATTATGTTATACCATATTATTTGTTTTTGTGTACAACGATACCAATATCGATATTTTTTATGAATTCATGAATAGAATGCGAGTTTTAAATTTTGCTCCCGGGACGTGCAGTTTAGGTTTTATATGAAAATTGTTATTCGTTGTTCCTGAAAATTGTGAAGTAAGTGAGTGCCTATTTGTTTACTATGAAATTTTAAAATTCTTATAAAAAACGTCAATATTTCCGCTTTAAAACACCTAACCTTCACTCATCGTATCTTAATACACGCACACACACGCAACAAAAAGCAGAAGGTGGGAACACAAGCGACGGGCAAGAAGGTTAGCTGCATATGTTCAGTTTCTCAGAGGCAACTCGGCAACAAGACTAGAACTTTTTACACGTTCTGATTGGCAGCTTCCATGAAAACTACTAAAGCGTTCTTGCGTCATACATCTGTCAATTACCAACTTCTTTTTTATCGGACATTATTACGGCTTTTGTTTTTTTCAATGAAGGACTACTCGCGCAGTGTGAGCAGTGGATTGTCTTAGTGACGCAGATGTCATGTAACAGCGTGACAATTCGCGTATTGGCGGACTCACGATGAAACATGTCTACAAAATAAATGTGGGAATCGTACAGCATTCACGCCAGTTTACTCATTCAAAATAAGTACATTAGAGAAGCGACTTTTCGGTGTCATTACAGACGTTTTCGATATTCATATTGGGAGTTTCTCCCAACATGAGTTTATTGATTATATGTTCATGGTAGATATGTGGGACATGTTGAGGAGGTTGGTCACATTGGCTATTGGCTATGTTCCGCAGGTTGGAGTCACTGGCTAGGTTGAGAACGCTAGACATGTTGAGTAGTTGAACGCATTAGTCCAATCTTTTCGCGCATATCCGAACAACGCAAGCCGTTTACCCTATCGCTTACCCTCTCCAGAGCGATCAATTATTTGAGTTCCGTGTAGCTGTGTGCGTGGGGCCAACACGCGTTCGCTTCTGCGGCAGGTCCGGACAACGTGACGCTCACCCTGTCCCTGGGCAAGAAGTACGAGATCACGTACGTGAGCATCCAGTTCTGCCCGCGCTCGCCGCCGCCCGAGTCGCTGGCCATCTACAAGAGCGTGGACTTCGGGGAGACGTGGCAGCCCTTCCAGTTCTACTCGGCCGAGTGCCGCAAGGTGTATGGACGGCCGAACCGCGCCTCCATCACCAAGGCCAACGAGCAGGTAAAGATGCCGCGGAGTGAACCGCATCGGTGGGGTGGAACCGCAGTTTTTCCACATTGATTATATCATAGAAACCAATATACATGGGCAATCTGAAAGGGTGTAGAAGGATACTATTGTAGATCGTTTCGCATTTACGGGGAAAAAAAGAGTATTTCAAGTACTTACGGTAGTTTCCTAGACAGGAGGGACACATTTAATTGTACAAAAATGCATTAAGTTGATACAGGCATGATGTTAAAAACTCTTAAATAATATTTTTATTTTAATATGTAATAAATCAAAAGCATATATATATATATATATATACATTATACTCTATATATATATATATTGAGATAATAAGTTATTTTTGAAATTACTGTGAGAAAACTATTGTAGAAAATATCGTAACAAAGATTTCTTAAGTATTAATTATTAAACATTAAAAAAATGAATACGCATTTTCGAAAGAAAGGCAGTACGTTACGATAAGAGTAGTAATTAGTACTATTAAAAGCCATGATATTTTGTATTTCCATTTGTTAGGAAGCCACAAATTGAAACCGTAATGATAACCACCTACCCCAAGCCAGTTATTAGCGTAATGTTACACGATGTTATCACTGACAAATTGACACTTCTTCCCTATATAGCCCCACATTTCCACACGAAGTTTCATGAAGACACGTTACTATTGATACGGTATTCACCATTGCTCGAATTGAACTAGAAAAAGAATGATGAAGTGTTATAAGTGTGCGAAGAATAATAATATATTAATTATATATATATATATATATATATATATATAATATAATATTTTATATAATTGTCATTTTTTCCATTGTTTTAGAAACCACAAAAATAAAAAACAACGCTAATTGATACTTTACGCACGTACCCAAACACCATATTATCTAAACCACACCATCATTCTTTTCTATTTGAATTAGCATGAGTGAAGTGGGAACATGGTAACGTGGTTGATGGGGGGATTGGCGTTGCGCAGGAGGGCGCTGTGCACGGACGCGCACCGCCTAACGCGGGGGTGGCGTTGGCGGCGGGCGCGGGGCGGCGGCGCGCGCGTCGCCTTCTCCAGCCTGGAGGGCCCGCCTATCGCCGCCGACTCGACCACCAGCCCCGTGCTGCAGGACTGGTCACCGCCACGACTTCAAGGTGAGGCTCTCGACGTTCAGCTGTGCAGCAAGGGCTAGTGCATGTTTATCATGGAAGGTCGCTGCGTTTTGAGATCCGGCGGCTCACCTAACGTCGGTAGCCGAATTTCCCTACTTCCCACCACGGGCACGGCCTCCTTGAGACAAACTCGAGACTCCGATGAATGTAGTGAAATGGGTGTAAGAAAAGGCGAAGTAGGCAAGGAGGAGAAGGAAAGATCGCGTGCAGGACTCCAAGTTCATTACTGCCGCCATTGGCCTAGTGTGAAAAAAGCAATCGGAAACCTATCGACCAGCGAGACAACGAATTCTCCTCCAGGCTGACCCTCGACGCCACCACTATGTAGCTGAGGTTTCCAAAAACTCTACACACAGAGTCGAACTTTTGCGATTCCAGGTCAGGGCGCTGCCTGACATTATGGTCCTGAGCCACGTAAGCCCAATGTGCCGCTATATAAGAGGCGGAAAGGAGAGGGGAATAATGGGAATTGAATTTTTAATAAAATGCAATGGCTTCAAGGTGCATTCCTCTGATGTTTTTAGGAGGATATTTATAATTGATATCAGCTTGCATTAATGCTGATTTACGAGTTACAATTTAACGGTGCGTCTATGTGAAAAATAAGAAAATATTATGCAAGAATACTGATTCAAAATATGTTAAACAACAATTTTTAAATTCTGCTCTGTTCATGTGTTTAAAGTAACAAACCTTACTAGCCTCTTCCATTTCAATAAGCCTGTATCTATATTAAATTGATGTTCAGAAGAGAGAAAGGTATTGCGCGTTAAAAATGTATTATATTAGCATTTTTTCTACGTGCCCGCTTCAAATTCACGCTTTCTTCGAGCATAATACAGTTAAAAGAAAAAAGCAAACGAGCTTTGAGGTCTATTAGCGATGTTTTGAGGTCAATGTGCGCGCCTTAGCTCATTCTCATAAGCGAGGTTCTGATGTAGGATTCAGGCTAAGTGAGAGGGAAACTAGAAAAAGAGATACGATATGTGATTAAGTGATACGAGATTAGGCATCCGAATTAATGCGATGCAGGTTAAGGGATACAGATTAAGCGAGCGGATACGAGCTTAAGGGGAGTCGAGATAGGCCATACGAGTTAAGGCGATACGAGAATTAAGGGATACGAGATGAGGATACGAGATGAAGGGGATAACGAGATGAAGGGATACGAGTGAAGGATACGAATGAATGGATACGAGATAAGGATACAGATGAAGGGATACGAGATGAAGGGATACGAATAAGTAATTTCCAATTATGGTTCGAGATAAAGAGATACGATATTAAGAATACGGATAGGATGCTAGTTACAGGACCACTATTCTTTTGTGTATGAATTTGCAGAGCGCCTAGCTCCAATAAGATTCCCATGTGACGCGCCGCTGTCGAGGTGTGTTCACGGCTGCACCTGCCGCGACGTTCGAGGACCCCGACGTGCTGCGTGGCGCGGCGGCGGCCGGCACGGCGAGGGCGGACGCGGCCGCGTGCCGGTGGCGCGCCAGCATCCAGGCGGCCGCCGGTCAACGGCAACGGCTGCCGCCCCCGTCGGTGCGGCCGCCACCACCCCTTGGCGTGGCCTCCTGCTTCCGGCGCCGCCCCCCCGCCGCCCGCGTGAGCCACCAATCGCCCCAAGACCTACCACGCCCCGGCCGTCGCCTCCGGCCCGCCCTACCACCGCCGCCGGCGCGGGCCTGCCGGCTATGCACTACGCCGTGTCCGACCTGGCCGTGGGCGGGCGCTGCAAGTGCAACGGCCACGCCGCCCGGTGCGTGGCCGGCGCCAACGGCCAGCTGCAGTGCGACTGCCGCCACAACACGGCCGGCCGCGACTGCGAGCGCTGCCGCCCCTTCCACTTCGACCGGCCCTGGGGCCGCGCCACCGCCCGCGACGCCCACGAGTGCAAAGGTAGGCCTCCAGAGACACCGCTCTGCCCAAGCGTGTTGATTGGAGTCGACTGAATTGTTGCTACTTATTAATAACTACTAAAAATTACATGTTAATTGTTACTTCAACTGAGTTGTTAAATGTACCTTCTTAAGTATAAACAACTGAATAATAAGTTCACACAATTGCATACAATCGACTTATGATACTCAAATGAAGCAACTGAAATGGATAATACGAAGTTGATTATAATCAACTGAATAAATTATTATTCACGAGTGCGATAGAGCCAGTGTATAACTAAGGAGTACATAATGGGCTTTTAGCCGCGTGTAATATACTTTTTACCTCATCCAATAACCATTTCAACATTTTAACGTCTTTTTGAACTGTTGGTCAGCGCGTGGTATTAGTTACAAAGAAATGAAAGAGAATTAGTAATCGATTACCAACGCAACGATGCGATTTGTTGGAAGCAAAACAGGTATTAAGAATGCATAACAAAACTTGAAAGGCGATATTTGTATAACTTTTGTTACTCACATCATAGCTCAATCACTTTCTGTCATTATAGTATATGAAACATAGGCGGTCCGATATTAATTTTCGGAGTAATTATTTTCCTTTGCCTTCCTCTCCGTATAAATTACAAGATGGATGCCTACACATTGCCCAAGAGTTTCAAATTTTCTGATAATTGTTTCAGTGCGACAGCATTTTTCTGTTCATAAGTCCCGTTGCGTCATATTCTTCAGAAGTCAGTTATTTCTGCTTGCATATTCTCCATCTCTCGCAACGTTTTGACTACTTTTGTATCATTTATATATATTCTTCGTTTAAAGTAGGACAAATGTGGTGTTCTACTCACTCATCTCACTCACTCACGCGGACCACTGACGGGTTCCGTGAGATTAACAATAGTAACTTCTTTAAAATTAATATGATACCAGTCGGTACGCGGAAGGAAGCAGTATTCATTTTCATATTAAAAAAATAAATTAAGCACTGCCCGTGCGTGAATAATGGTACGTTATTGATTCTTTAGATTTTTCGTGAGAAAAAGAAAAACAGTTATAAGAAAGAGAGCAATACTATTTTTTTGATTTTTTGATTTTTTTTCCTTTTGATGTTTCTCACGCCTGGATGTTCTTTCATACGGCGAAAACCAGTCAGCACAGCTTTTTGTGACTCCATGTGCCTGTTCCTAACTGCCAGCAGGGCATTACAGAAGCAAAGAGTCGTTACAACGCCCCATCGTCGCTGAAGTGACGTACGAGGGAGCCGTCCGGAAGAGGCGGGCGCCGGCTTAACGAATCTCGCCGAGGGAGTCGAACCGGGGCCCTGCCCGACTGCGAGGCGCCGACCCGCGAGCTTTCTGCTAATTGCTCCAGGGCGACGGGTTTTGCGGTTCGCACGTCCCGTTCCATCACACTCTCCTCCTGAGTTCGTTATTCCTGTTTTCCTCGATCTCTCGCAACGTTTTGACCACTTTCGGGTCGTTTATATGCATTCGTTGTACCGATTAATTATGCACCTTCTTTAATGGACATGTAATAGCCGTTCGTTTCGGTTAAAAATTCGCGTATATTCGATATGCAAAACGTGTTAGTGTTAATTAGTTCGTAGAATATTCGCATTTTGTTTCGTGATTCTTTTTCATTAATGGTGTCGCGTTTTTGCGCCAAGCTCACCTTCGTATTCTTACAACATCTGAAAACTGAACAATTTTAGACATCTGTAATAAACAACAAAGGAGTTTGCATCTTGGCTGTCCGGGTGACGCCGCGTCGAAGGCTGTGTTGCCGACGTTTCGACCATCTTGTCGTGGTCTTCCTCAGGGCTTGTATGCCATGGGCATACTAGCCCTGTATGTATGGGCATACCAGCCCTGAGGAAGACCACGACAAGATGGTCGAAACGTCGGCAACACAGCCTTCAACGCAGCGCCACCCGGACAGCCAAGATCATTCACAAGACTCCGGGCGCGGAAGCCTACGACTTCAACAAAGTATTTTTATGGCAGCTAAAACATAAATAATTAAAATGTATCGATTTATTTTATATCTCCCTGTAAATTTTTGATAAATAAGATACATGCATTTTTTAAATTCTTGCCAGAGACCACAAATCTAAATAGTGAACAATGTTCATCGATAAATATCATATTTGAGGTATTTTCAAACAAACTATAGTGAGTGAGATTAAAATTATGTCAATCCTTTATTTATGTCTTTAAATGGAATTGCTGTGCGACAAGCTACCTCTTGATCATCTAAAGGTGGTAAACATTCTTAAATTCAGTCTTCTGTATACTCAGAGCGCTGTTACATGCATTCCTCGTGGCAGCGCAGGCAGGTTTGTCGTGTGTAACGAGCCTTGTTTCTATTTTGTTCATTACTTAAAATTGGGTTTAAAAATATTATGCATGAAGATGAAGATAATTTATCTACTCGATATAAATACCTCATTCACTTCCATCCTCTCGTACGTAAAGTATTCTTTACCATTTTGTAAAATATTATAATTTATTTATTTATTTATTGAATGTTATCCAACTCATCAAAAATCTGTGTGATGTACAGGAGAGAAATATCAATATTTAGCGTGTTTTTGAGAGCCGGAACGGGCGTACTCTTTCATTGCAGTGAATTGAAATATGAATAAATATAGCAAATAGTGTTTATTTAAAAATGTGACGACAAGAAATATTTTCTTCTGTGTAATGAAAATTACTTGTAACGGCGAACTGTTACATATTTTGGCTCTAATCTTTTATCGTGGCCCATGTTAAGCTACCGCGAGAACATGGAAGTAGGTTAAGATAGTACTACTGACGGTTTTATTCCCTAAATGTATATTTAAAAGTATTTAGTTATTAAATGTATTAAAAAATTACGTTTTTGTCAAACCATAAACATTTTTATTTGATAATGTTTTTTAAGATGTTTCGTACAAATCATTAAATTCTCGGATTATATCTTTTTGGAGAAATAGTAATCGCGTAAATGATTCAAATTGTTTGACCATTGCAAGACAAAGAGTTTCGTGTTGCGATCATGTGAATCTGTTACGTAATGAAACATTTCACACACTCTTTCTTTTCTGTAACGAACGGCATTGAACTACGTAACTGAGTCTCTGTAGTCATTTTTTTAATCAAGTCTTTTTTAATTTTTTAACGAGGCTTGCTCCCTTCACGTTAACTCCTGCCGGCTTTGCCAGCAAATGACTATAAGCCTGCTTTAGAAGCTCGGAGCGTCCACGTGCACAAGTGCCTGCGTGCACGCGCTCGTTGCGCCTACGTGCCTCTCCGAATCACCCGGTTTAGCCTGGCAAGGCTAGTTTTCTGGAATTTGCGTGGGGTGTTAAGTACCCGGCATCGTGTGTGTCCCTTTTTTATTACGCTGATCTGTTCGCTTTTCCAGAGTACTGAAATGTTGGTCGCCACGGCGTGTGGGTTACGGGGCCGGGCGGAATTACTCGCGGGGGCACTTTTAGCTCGCTTATTTAGTACTTAATGATTCTCGGGTTTTGTAGTCTCTCTGCGGTGGGAGTCAAGGTGCTAAGAATTGCTCAACTTTGACAGGATGTGAGTAAGAAACATGCGAAATGTATGAAACAGACCTGTTTTAAACAATAGGTTCGCAACTTCTCTGGGATATATTGCGTACCAACATTATTTGCCGTTAACAGTCAAATGTCACTTGGTGACGCTGTCAGTGCTGACCTAGCGAGGTGCAATGGCAGCAGGTTTGCGGATGACGATATCCACCTTGTTGCGTCCGTCTGCTGGTGCACAAATGAAGGAAATGATGCGAAATAGTAATTGTAATCGATGTAATGATTAACTCCTTTGTTTGTTTCATCACAGTTTTGCAATCGTTAATTTTTTTTCCTAATATATTTTGACCGGTAGCTGATGTTTGCACCGAAAGCACAGAACATGTGACAAAGGCGTTAAATGCGACAATGCTCTCACGAGCAGTCAAGCACGAAGAAATTTGGTTTTGGTGTAGTCTATAAAATTAAGGGAGTTAATGTTATCACAAAAATTTAATTTTTTTAAAAGAAGGTAATGACAGTTAACAGTTACTTTTAAAATAAGTATATTGTAAAACATTACACAACGGTGTAGGAGAATTTTCTACATGAAAACTGCTATAAACATGAAAGCTATGCTACAACATTTATGCTATAACATAAAATTTCCTATGATTACATCCAGAGGTTTTCCAAGGGCTCTGACCCTTACGAGTAGTTTCGACGTAGCCCCCAGTGTAAAGCATGTGTCATGCTTAAAAACATTTGGAAGGGCGGAGCTGGACCCGCCCGGAATCTCCATGAGCCTACGGCCTTGTTTGTTCTGTGGCGTCGATGCAACAGAATGCCGCTCGTCCGCTGGGAGCAGTCGCGGCGACGCCCACTGTTGTTTCTCGCCCATTCGCTTGTCAGCCAGGCGGTGAAACATTACAAATTAATAATAGACTGCGCCCGTCAAAGAGAGACTCCGGTTGCAGTAAGAATTAGGTTGGCAGCATGCATGCCTGTTCTCAAATGTGAACAGAACAACAAAAGTATATATTGGCAAGAAAAGAAAACAACATTATTTAAACTTGAACTTGGTGGTGAAGGTTTGCTAAATTTTTTTAAAATTCTTAATGTTATTTCAAGATTATGTGCCTTTTATTCATGATTTTATTTTCTTTAAAAATATTTATGTACGAGTAAGGGACAGTTAAATGATTCCAATAACGAATTCAATTATTTGTGTACGTGACACCACATATCACGTCGTTCTCGTACGCTGAGATAATTTTGCACTGTCCAGCCTTGGGTATGGATTACATGATTACTTAAAAAAGTATTTTGAATCTCGAGTTACTCACACCTGGCCTTGCGATGGAAACATACAACGTCGTAGTCAGATTGTTTTTGGGAGGTGCTAGACAGGAGAACATTTGTCACAAAAATAGTCAAGATCAAATTGAAGGTAATTTTTTCTATAAATATTTCAGGTAAAC